TTTTTTAGAATTAATGAATAGAAGATCGCCGAAACAGGATGAGACATTATTCAATATAATTATTGCGTAGCTAGTTTCATTTCGGTAATTATTACGAAATAATACACATATACATTTATCAACTATTTACAAATATGCGATTTGTAAGATCCGACGATTTCCCTAATCTTTTTATCACAGAAGAAAAGTGAAGAACGTATACATATTACAGCATCTGATATAAATAAACTTTCTATATTGATCAAAAGGCTATGTGTGTATGTGTTGTTACTGATAACAAACAATTATTTAGACATTTGTTTTTTTTCTTTCAAAAATATAACATTAACAATTGCGTGTATAAACGAGCAGGTATTATATAAAATTACTTTTACAATATATATAATTACAAATCTCTATAAATATATATATATATATATTCCTGCCTAATAAAAGATACGTAAGAGATAACAAATTGGTATTAGACGACAGAAATTTAAGACTATTGCGTTAAGTCAGTTCTTTTTTTCCCGACAAGACAATCCCCTTCTATAATAACTGCAAATTACCTCTAACAACAACAAAAAAAAAAAAAAAAAGAAATTTACACATAGTCGGCCCCATAAAAATTGCTCCCATGGAGAATGTTTTGTCATACAATATTCGATACTCCAATATATTACACAACGTTCTCTGCTCGTTAGTATTCGAAAGAACAAATATAGGTATGAGATTCTTACTAGTAACAATCGGCAACAGAGATGAGCAATCGTTTTTTTCTCTTGTCTATTACAGTTATAAAACATTTGACTAATAAAAACTGCTCGAAATAATATATATGTCACATTTCTTTTTTTTTATATTATTATTATTATAATATTTTTTTCACATAAAAAGTATATTATCGTATAGCTATAAATTTAAAGGTGTATTATTGCGGTCACTATAATATGTATATTGCATGTAGATTCTCACTTTTGGACGAATTTAATAATCGAAATAAAAGCTTTGTTTATTGCTTCTCTCTGACCGTAATCACGTAATGAAAGTTTACTCACGCCAAAATACTACCAGTAATAACACCGTTGAGCATTTCATTGATATCGTATATACTAAATACGATTTCTTTCGATTAACTGCTGCGACGATAATTGGCAATTAGCATAGCACCGTCCGATTGTGCCACATTCGACCGCAAATGTGCCCGCCGCAACGAAGAGTCGAACGGAAGTGCTGTATAATTTATATATCGCGATCGCCAATCGTATGTGGTGCCCATGTCGCAGCAATCGCTCGCTCACTCGCTCGCTCGCTCGCTCGCGCGCGTTTCGTTACACACACATCTTAAACGATAATTAGTTCTACTTTTGTTATACCGTTCTCTCGACGCGACGATCGGCGATCGGCCCGGTTGTTGAATCATCGCATTTTTATTTTTATTATCGATTCCTATAAATTCGCACTGACTAGATTCTAAATCGGGAGGTTTTTCAAATTATCATGAAGACGCGAAACGGATATTACGAATTACGTAAAAAACTATTACGTGATTTTCACTGCGTGAAAGTCACCGCGACGACAACCGCGTAAACGAAAACGCACAAATGAAACGCACGCTCGTTGGACTCGTATAAACAGGATCACAATCGTCACCGTTTTATTCACCGTACTGGAAGACGAGTCCTTCCAACCGTTTCTTCCCCCGTTCACCGCTTCGCCGGTCAAAGGAAATTGACGTTTACGACGTGCCTTTCATACAGAAACGAGGATCGATATCTTCTTCTTCGGCATTCCGCTGGAAGAGCGACGAGAAAGAGAGAAACAGAAAATATAAATATCTGTCTATAACGATAATGCACTCGTAAATCCCGCTGGTGGTTCAGCCCCCACATTCGAGCAGTGACAACTTTTGTGCACAAAAGAACAGACAAAAAAAAAAAAAAAAAAGAAAAAAAAAGAGACAACCGGAAGAAATTATTGGCTGAGCCATTGTAATGCGAAAGGAGGAAACCACAAAAAAAAAATAAAAAACTATGCGTTTGTCTTATAGATGTAGGAACTAAGAATCACAGTGTTGCGCTCAGCACCGTGCTCATTTATGAACGCGACACGTGACGAATTTGGACGTAAACATCACGATATCACTTATTATTAGAAAATTCTAATTAGGTCGATTTTGCGAATCACGACAACGTAACGACTGCATAATTCGTCCGTATGGATGTATTAGCGACGTTTGTATTAACAATACTGTTCTGACTTAAAGTTACACCAACTACTACACTTTTCCGAGAAGCGCTACAATTTCCGAAAGCCATTCGAATGCTTACAACGATCGCAGGTCGCGATAAAGCACTCAATTAGTTCTCATGCCAATTTCGGTACGCCGCGAGATGAAAACTTATCATTTTCATAAAGCATTGTTACGAATTTAGAGAGATCGCGATATACGAAACAGCGAAATTAAACGATAAAACTAAAGCGAGAAGAGTTTGTGTACAATTAAAAAGCAATCGTTTGATTTCTGTAATTAAGTAGTCTTAATTTTCTAAAATGTTTCAAATATACAAAGGAAAGAACGACCGAGCAATCTGACGCTCTGATTTGATCGCGTTCTCCGGAACAGCGTTCGAGTTTTGAGCACAAAATCATCATGCATACCATCGACTAGAGATTAGATTAATTTAATTATATTTATATTACACACACTGGTTTTTTTTCTTTTTTTTTCTCCATATATGCGATGTTAAATTTTTCATGTTACAAAACAATTCTTTTAGACGTCAAAAAGTCTGATGATCGTGAATGAAAAACGTTTTGTTCTTTATCGACTCAAAGTAATTACGAAATACGTAATTTCGCAGTATATATTTGTGTCTTAATGTATAAATAGATTAAAATTAGTTTTTTTATGAAAAAAATGGAGCGAATTTAACGCACGGCTCGCTGCCGCGATATAAACGAGATCCAATGCTGTGTCGATGAAACCGCGAAATTCAGATCTCAAAGAGAGGCCATTAAAACTGGAAGGAAGCTGCGTTTCGAGAGAGAGAGAGAGAGAGAGAGAGAGAGAGAGAAAGAGAGAGAGAGCGAAGAGAACGTCCTCGGGGCCGAAGGAAAGTACACCGTGAGATTTACAGGACCAACCGAGTTCTCTCCTCGTCTCGTTGGCTTCTCAAAGTTTATATTCGCTCAGGTGTATCCTCACAGGATATCCGTAAGAGCGGAATCGCCTCCTCTCCCGCGAAGTGCCCGGCAACATTTGTCGTTCAGTCGGAAACCCCCTTTCGTTTCGCCGCGGACGCGATTTTATTGATCCCCCGCGAAGCACGACGCACACTTTTCGCGAAGAGCTACGGAAGCTTACACAAAAAATCTAACTTTGGCAATGTATACGCGCGACACACTTTTTTCTTTTAATATATAGATGCATGTGTGTGTATGTATGTCGTGTGTGTGTGTGTGTGTGTGTATGTGTATGTATGTACGTATGTCGTCGCCATGAGAAAAACAGTGAGTCTCCTTTCATCCCCTTCATTCTCATTCGTTTGGCAAAGTGGCAGAGAACGGCGGGACAGATTAACACGTTAACGAACATTTATATATAATGTATTATATATATGCATGTAATACGAGTATACGTTTATGTGGCGCGCGCACATGTATAATATCGATGTTTGTGTATGTGTGTGTTTTAGAATGTGTAAATGTAGATTCGTGTTTTTGCACTCGTGTGTATGCACTTAGAATCTACGTAGAGTTCCGTGTTTCTCAAAGACTGCTCCCGAACTCACTCGATCTTCGTCGGTCGATGTGCTTCATGTACGTCTCCGAGTACATGGTCTTAGTACGGTCGTCGTATCTGGAAGCAGAATTCAAGCGGACGGGAAATTACTTCCTTCGTGAAGTCGGAATAGATGGATTTGTCTGTGCAACGCTTGCTTCTGTCTTTGCTGAATGTACTTTTAAAAGAAGCTCAAAATAATTTAAAGACTTATCGATCGTACGTGAATGAATTCACGCACAAACTTTGAAAAAACAAAAGTTGTTATTGTTTTTTATTATTTTATTTATTTTCTTCCTCACACAACGAAGGTAATAATTAAAAAAGCTTAAAACACACTTTTCAATTGCTTGTTGTATTTGATCAGTTTTATTTCAAAGTAAAACGCAGATAAGAAAAATATTGTTGCGCGTGTCCCATCTTTTTTTTTCGAAGAATAACTGCATACAAAAGCTAAAAAAAAAAAAAGAAAAAAAAATGTGTTACTCTAAAAAGTCGATAACTTATCATTTTGTGCGATCATATTTTCAAAGAGAAATATGTAGTGTGGCATCGAGAGTTCGTTCTTCGTTCTCTCTGTTATGCGAAAACGTACATAATCGCGCTTTTGGTATCTCTTGATTCTCCCTTGTACAGCTGTCAGTTCAATCATCGTCGCGCATCATCGCATATACAGCTCGTGCGAGATACGCAGTATATGTAATTGAACAGAATAATGGAGTAATTGGCGCGGAGAATGAAAATGGAGATACATGACGCCATACATCCACGCGGATTAAATTAGGTTTAATTTATGGGTTTAACGATCGTTTCTCGGAACCGCGAATATAACGTTTGGAATAAATTCGGGCCCGCGGTATAATTGCTCTCGCGTACCCGCCTGTCTATTATTTGAAATATGAAATGCGAACTGATCGTTATTACATATCGCTGAAATAGCCGAAGTTTAATGTTACGATCAATAGTTGGATTTTATTTCACGCTGTTAAGCGCGAAACTAGGATCGCGCTAAATAGTGCGAAACATAACATTGTCGTTTTTTTTTGTTTTTTTTTTATTACTGAGAATTTATGTAAATAAATCACACTCTTGATTTTTTCGATGTATCAGGAAATTCGATTAATCACGATCATCGAATCAAAATACGCGACGATAAAAATATTTATATATCTCGCGCAAACACATCGTATGTGCGGAGAAATTTATATCGTGTAATCGATATATCGGCATCAAATTTTACATCGTTTTGACACGTATATCATTTTTGACGTTGTAGAATTTTGGAGTAAGTAGATTGAAAACAATTTTTCTGATACATGGAAAGGAACCTTTCAGAGTGTCAAACATAACAACAAGAGACTCAAAGTAAGGAACTGGTAAAAGAAAGAAAACAAAATAGAAATGCATACCTTAACGTGTTAGACCAGATCGTACCTTAGGGATGGCCGACGGAAGTCCAGCGCTTCGAGATCCGACGGCTCCCGTCTGCAGAGCGAACAGAAAGCGCACTGCAGCGTATTTTTAAACGCCTCTCGAAAGTCGCGATTAAAATACGCATAGATTAATGGATTCAACGCTGAATTCGTATATCCGATCCAGAAGAGGATCGCGATTACGATGTCGGGGCACGGACAGGACTTGCCGCACGCCGCCGTAATGACGTACCTGAGTAATTAAAAATTATTTGCGTTTTTTTTTTTTCTTCAAATTATAATTTAAACGCAAACGCGAAAAAGACAATTAATTAATTTCATACTCGCAATAATTGTGAAACAAACAACAGAAAACATATAAATCTTAATTAAAAAACATAAATTTAACGCTTGCACTGAGAGAATTTTTACGATACTGTTGAATGTTTTGTTTTTTTAATCTTTTTGCACATTCTTTTATATTATGAGTATAAGAGCTACAACGTTAAAAAAAAAAAAAAATTAATTTATTACTAACGTTTAAATTATACACATACCAAAGGAAAAATGGCAGCCAACAGAGAATGAAGGTTCCCATGATAATACTCAGCGTTCTCGCCGCTTTGTGCTCCCTCTTCATCTTCATCATGTTTTTGTCCTTCGTGGGCGTGTGCAGATGTTCGGTGTTGATCTCGTTTAAAGTCAGCGTCTTTGAGGAGCCGCCGCTGTTTAATTCGCCGTTCAAATTATTGAGATCCTTGCTCGGTCTGTGGCTTAGAAGCATCGCGTTACCCATTCTGCTGAGCATCTGCTTCTCCTGCTTGTTCGCCTCTTTAAATATCGCGAAGTACATGACCGCCATGATGGAGCACGGTATCCAGAAGGATATGCTCGACGACAGCACGGCGTAGATTCTGTTGACTTTGAACTCGCAGAGCTCCGGGTGTTTGTGTCGGTGCACGCTGTTCTCCTCCGTGGTGTACCAGCCGCAGAAGATCGGCACGAAAGAGATGATCGCCGGCGACACCCAACAAGCGAGAAGCATGTACGCGACAACTCGCTTCGTCATGTTGCTCGGATACTTGAGCGGCTTCACTATCGCGTAATAACGATCCACGGAGATGCACATCAGATGCAATATCGAACTGGTGCTGAAATATACGTCCAGCGAGTTCCAGACGTCGCACATAAAGTAGCCAAACAGCCAGCGGCCAGTCACCTGCACGCTCGCGTTGAACGTCATCGCAAACATCGCCACCAGCATGTCAGCGAGCGCGAGCGAGACAACAAAGTAGTTGGTGATAATCCGCAGCTTTCTGTGTCGTATCACCGATACCATTACCAGAAGATTACCGAACACGGCTGTGGCGATAATCGAGCCCAGAACGCAGACTTTGGCGATGGTCGACGGCATGTCCGGCATGTCCCAGTTCATCTTCACCTCGGTGCTGTTGTTCGCGTAAGCATTCTCCTCGGTCGAGGTGACGTCCAGCAACGACGTCACGTCGAACGAGGAGATCTCCGTCGGATCGAACGTGCTCTTTGTGGTCATATTCTTTCGTTCGACGGCGGCTAACGCCGTGAACGAAGGTCGATAGCCTCGTTGCTTCCTTTGCTTGTGTCCGTACAAAAAAAAAAAAAAAAATGAGAGAGTTGGAAAGGTAACTTTAAGTGACAGAAGTCCCGATTAGCCGACGCACCAGGAAAACGTTCATCTTTGATTCAGAAGTAAGAACCTTCTTACGTGTCTGTCCTTCTCGGACGACACACTGTCGCTGGCTTAATCGCCGTTACAAGATTTACGAAGCCGGATCGAGAAGAAAACGTGTCCTAGAGAAGCTTCGGATTTTCGACTCAATGCGACGACGACGCTACGATGTCGTTGAGCGTGCGGATCTATAAATAAAACAAAAAAACAGGCATCTTTTAAGAACATTGGACAATCATTTTTAATCTACTATCGCGCGCGCGCGCGCGCAATGGGCGCGAGCGCGTTAGTAAAATTTACATATAGCTTTACGCGCGGGAAAATATATCCCTTTCATTTCAGGACGCAGATGCAAAGTGTGTTTAATTTAAATGGAACACGGTCGGTGTAAAAAAAAAAAAAAAAAAACTTGCACTGCGATAATGAATATTGCATTGAAAAACATCTGAGAAATGCTTCGTTATTTTTAACGTCCCGGCGCCCGCGCAAGATTACCAGGCATTTTCTCGCGACGAATTATGCTACATTATTGAGTCGTTAGCTATTTAATTAACAACCGACTTAATTACGGCGCTCGAAGCCTCTTTTTTTATAAGTGAATTAATAGTTTTTTTTTTTTTTTATTCGCACCGAGGAAAGAATTAGGGTAATAAAATTGTTGTTTCCGCTACTTTACAACAAAGTTTTCATATATTTATTTCTGAATTCAATATTTCTGATGAAAATCACGTTGACATTTCTAACCGACTCGCGAATGACCTTAGATCGGGACGGAATTTACACGAACAATTAAGCGACTCTTCTCCGACCGCGAGACGTGTGCACGTGTTTCGATCGTAGCGTTCCTTCGAGATTCGCGTATCAGCTGGTGCGGCAGTTTTCCATTCGTTCCTACTCAAAATGAGGACACGACGGAAGAGTGTTGGCAACTTTCAATGGGACGTCCTCTTCTCTTTCCCGGTCTTCTGCTTCTATCTCTCTTTCTCTCTCTCTCTCTCTTTCTCACACACACACACACACACTCATACACACATACATGCATACATATACACTGTCTCTCTTTTTCTCTGTTTCTGCATCTTTCTGTCTCTTTCTTCGGTACAGCAATCGTGTGCCGACAGCGTTGTGTCAAGTGCACTTTTGTCGCGAGTTCGTGTAATTTATGATCTGCTATTTTTGCGGTACATTTGGGTCAATTATTCCGGCGGTAGAACGTCGGCCGGCTTACGTGCGGTGGTCCTGAAGAAGATTGCTACCAGGGAAAGCTTATTGTTGTCATTTTTATTCTTCAACAAACCGATCTTATCGTCAAAATCAAGAAAACACGAGGAAAAAGCGCGCGACATTAATAATGAATAAGATCAGCCCGTGTTCCAAGATAACCACTCGGCTAATTTATGTCGTCAAATAAAGTTTTCACAAAGGCGACTGTGAATATTTTATTACTGCGAAATGACAAGAAATTCATTCTAAAACTCACTTTAATCGCAGAAAGATCTCTCTCTCTCTCTCGCTCTCTCTCTCTCTCTCTCTCTCTCTCTCTCTCTCTCTCTCTCATTTAGAAAAGTGTGGTTTTATAAAATACAAATTCAATATGCGTTTGCAAATCAATTTCGTTGAAAAATAGAGGCAATTTTATTCAAAATGATATTTAACTAAATAGATTTTATATACATATATGCAGCTGTTTTACATGATTTTAATTTGAAAAATTTTGATTAAACACGCGTACTTTTTTTTTTCTGCGAGCTAAATAGAGATCGTCGGCGAGATGTATGAATTTTATGTATATAAAGCGCATTTCGATTCTAGCGCGCGTCGGCGACATAATTTTCTGCAGAAACAAATCGCGCCGTATGAAAAATATTCTGCGTTTCTCTCTCAGACGGACGTTATTTATGCTTGCCTCGTTTTTCTTAGATTTGTTGCATAAAGCGGCGCATACGTGCACCGCGGTTCACGGCAGCTGACTGCGCGATATATAGTCGCCTTTTGCTGCGACGTGATGCATTCAGAACGTTTCTTCTATTGCGCAGAATGTGCTTTAACTGATGCGATGGTGTTGCAACAACGTAGGCTCGCAAAAACCAACCGAGTATCAGCCAACGTTTTTTCGTTTGATCAAGAATTCTCTCTCTTTCGAAAAAAACAAAAAAACAAAAAAAACCAACAAACAAAAAACAAACAAAAAAACTCGCGAACGATATTACGATCGCTTGCGACAAAAAGATATAAATATTTGTACAGGTTGTAAAAAATATTGCGCTAGACAAGAAAATTGAGGAAAAGACAAATTTTTTTATATTTTTTTGTGGATTTTATACTGTCCAGAGATGGATGTAGACAAAAAATGTGTAGATAACAGAAACCGTACTAGCGCAGAACTAGAGAACGGATTAAAATAGAAGATCGTTTCGAAAAGTTCACTTTGATCACGAAGAACTGTCTTACAGAAAAAGCGTGGTTTTATGAAATACAAATTCAATTCGATATACGTTTGTAAAAGTGAAACACAATTTTGTTGAAATAGAGGCAATTTTATTCAGCAGGATATTGAAGTAAATAGATTATATATATATATATACATATATATGTACATGTTTGGATCGTTATTGCATCCACATTCTGCACACAGCCATGTGAGATTAAAATCGACGACAGAATCGCGCCGTAATTTTCCGGTGATGAAAAACCTCCCCGTGGCTCTAGTTTTTTTTTTTTTTTTTTTTCAAACGGCGTATACCACTTTCCGTGCAAAATGGCACAGAGGAGAATTACGCTAAACGGTAACAATTACAGCTGGCTTTGCCGGCGTAAAAGAAGATTGGATATAAAAATAAAACGTACAAGAGAGAGAGAGAGAATAAAAATATTAATGAAATTAATCAAAATGATTCAACTTCACGGTCTATTGTTCGAAATTAATAGCTTACATGTTCAGAATAATTTTCGAGTTATTTGACAATGCAATCAACATGCCAGGATGCAAGCGTATAAATGCGCGCGAAGAATATGATTAAATGAAAATTTATATTTATATGAAACACATTTTGCGTTAACGAATACAATATATTAATGAAAATCAACAGGTGGAACGTATACACACACGTACACATACAAAGAGAGGGAGAGAGAGAGAGAAAGAGAGAGAGAGAGAGAGAACTAAATTTTACGTAAATTTTAATATTTACGTCTTTTTGCAATAAAATTTCCAGTCTTCCCTCTCGCTTGCTACACAAACTTCTGACATGACGAGAAACATAAAAGCATAAAATAAACCAAGACTAAGCAAATAAAAGACAAAGAAAAACAACGTTGTAATTTTCTACGAGTTTCAGCCATGAAAAAAATTGCGTTCTCTTGAATTGTTGTTTCTCTCTCTTTTTTAATCACACGAGTAGTCTGGCGTAGTAACAATAAGTCTTATCAAAGAATTACATAATAAAACCACCGGCGAATATTGTTGCACCTGCTACCCAAGCGGAAGTACGCCACAGCTACTCGATATCGCCCTATTGTTATTATTATTATTATTTTTATTTGCATAAACGCGATATGCAACTCCTGTTTTCCTGTATCCTCGGAAAAATTTCGCGTACGCGAAGGACACGTAGACGAGGGCGCATATCTCATCCACGACGCGAAAAATCGCATCACGTAACAATGCCGAGCATGTAAATCGCACGAAGCAGGCCGCGTTGAATATAAGTAGAATTCTCAACGTTAAGGCTGGCCAAGGGCAGATCTCACGGAATTCGAAAGATCAATGATGAGTCGGCCTCGTTCCTCTTAACCGTAATGAGAATTTCTCGCATTTCCAAGAGCTTGTTTTGTATCGTCGTTTAAACGCAACTTGCCGCCGTTGTGCGAATCCTCATCAAACGAGCATTACAAATAACCAATATTACGCGGAAAATCCCTTTTCTCTCTCGACGGAAATATCTCGCTGTGCGCGAGTGAATTTATCTCTTCATCTATAGCGGCGGAATTGAAGCATAAAGTTCCATGGCATCAGTCGCGAATTACGACGCGTTTTAATCCAGTCTTTTCTTGCATCTCTTTTTGTCGGTAGCACAAGACACATCAAAAGAAGCTGCACGATATTTTGCGGCTGCAAAAAACCGGATTAAAATGCCCCGTAATGCGTAGCTATTTCATGAAGCATAAATCATCCTCTTAAAGAAATTTCATACAGCTCGCACATGCGCGCGTAGAAAAGTGCGAGAAGAAAAAGCCACGTACAAATTGCTAATATTACAAACAGAGAGATAAAAAGAATTAAATATTTTAACAAATATTCGTGAAAAAGTTTTCTCGGGAGGGAAGTCTCTTTCGCAATTCTTGTTCAATTGTATATATAGCTTGTGTACAATAAAAATTTCTGCTACATTATTCTCTCTTCAAACAATATCAAAATATTTCGTATCGTTAGTGTGTCTACGGATTTTGATCCTCGAAAAGCAACCACCGTGTGTATCGTCGAAATCTCGTTCAGATAATAAATATTATATCTGAAAATTTCTCGCTCTTTATTTATTTAATTATTTTTTTATTTTTTTTAAGCAAACGTTCTTTTTTAATCACTCGCTTACGTAAACGTTTGTTATTTACAACTTCTACGCTCGCGTCGTATGCGTGAGACTATATTGTGTTACAGAGACGACTCGCATTAACGAAACTAAAACCCTCCCAAAACCATTTCGACACGTGAATGGCATACGTAAGTCGCCCCTCTCAATATATAAGAACGGTCCTCTTGGTCTTGGAAATTTTTTTCTCCTGCCAGACAGTCGGTTTTTTTCCCGGCAAAAACGCGCGATGATTTATTACACGACTTCGTTAATATGCGCGTAATATAAAGGTGAAGAATATATTTTTTTCAAGCTTATTTATTCTTAATGTGTATAATTGAAAAAGAAAGCGTATAATTGAATACGTCAAGAACTTTTTCAGATTCAAATTCTGGAAGCCAAAATCTTCGCTTTGCTGTTCGGACGTGCGGAAACTCGCTTCGTGAAGCTTCAAGCTCGCAATGTCGTTGGCTCGAATTCATACATCATTTATGTCGCAGTGTGAATATTATTCCAGCTTTTTCTATCTCGGTGACACTGCAAAATATTAAACATTTCTTGAAACGCATAATTTCACTTCCCATTTTATTGCGATCGTTTAAAGAGCTCTTGCATAA